ATTCACAGCCTTTTTTTTTTTTTTTTTTTTTTTTTTTCCTTTCACCTCAGCTCATAAGGATGCGGACTTCTGGAGCGTGGTCCCACTAGCCACGAGGATCAAATTGAATGCCTGAATCTGGACGTGTTTGTGCACAGGTGCAGGAAATGGAGATTGAACTGCTTTTCTGCATCTCTGCGTAAAACACGTCCAGATTCGGGCATTCGATCCGATCCTCGTTGCTAGTGGGACCTCGGCCCTGTTCACTAACAGCTTGTGAGTGTGTACTTGGCCTTGGGCACAGGTCCCATTAGCAACGAGGATCGGAGTGTACCATTCTCTTTTTTTTTCTTTCTTTTTTTTTTGATTTGTGCGCGCGATGTGGGTTCTCTGATTACTGTTGATCTCTTGTGCTGATTGTGTGACGGAATACGGGCCTCCCTCCACTACTCACCAAATGCGCAAAATGTGAGTGAATCTTCCGCTAGAAAGGGGGCCGATACACGGCCTTTTTTCTTTTTTTTTTGTGGAGCGAGGCCCTGTGACGGGGGGTTGTTGGTGCGGCAGAAGGAAAAACGCCATACTAACACGTCGTTTTTTTCATCAAACATCTGGACGTGATTGCAGTTGGGTTCATTCAGATTTGGCCGTAATTGCAGCCTCAGGCTGATGCATTTTGGAAAGTGCTAGTAGTGTGAGGATGCCTCTGTGGTCCCACGGCCTTTTGGCTAAGATCAAGTGTAGTATCTGTTCTGATCAGTTTAATATCTGATCCGTGGTCCATCGGACCACAATAATAATAATAATAAAAAATAAAAAATAAAAAAAGATGTGACGAACACCCATTGCCAAATGGCCTACCGTCTTCCCCCCAATACAACGTCCGGTCATTATAGCTGCTGCTGTATTTACACTGAAAGATACCCCAAATTCATACCCAGCTATACTGACCTAATTACGTTGTATTCTGCGGAAGACTGTAGCTCAGCTGGTACACCCCTGAACTCGGTCTGTTGAAATTGAAATACGGCCCTGACACCAACGGGCCTAGCTCAGTTGGTACACCCACCCATGAACTGTTTTTGAAATACAGACCCAAGTTCGAATCCAGATACCCCAAATGAGATGAAGAGAACAAAAGCATGTTTTTTTTTTTTTTTTTTCTGATTT